TGAAAAATGTAATATTTAAAAAGTTTGACAAAATAAAGTTCTTTTGAAAAGTTAAAATAATTAACAAAGTTTTAATCAAAGCAAAGACGACCCAAATAAACAATATCAGAGATGAATAAGAAGATATTGCAACTGACACCACAGAAATATGGAAGATCATTAGTGATTCTTATAAGGAAGCAGCACACATGGACAAATTGCATATAGAAGACACAGATAAATTCCTGCGCACATATAATAATAAGATTGAAAAGTGAAGAAACAGATCTAAGTTAAGCAATATTGAGTACCAAAACTCTGTCAGAAATAAAAAATCCCCCTAGGAAAAAATAAATCCTAGGACTGGATGGCTTGATTGTAGAATACTATCAAATTTTGGGTGTGTGTGTGTGGTGGTACTGAGGGTTGAACCCAGGGGTGCTTAACCACTGAGCTATATCCCGAGCCCTTTTTATTTTTTTAATATTGAGACAGGGTCTTGCTAAGTTACTTAGGGCCTCTCTAAGTTGCTGAGGCTGACCTTAAACTTGCAATCCTCATCCCTCAGCCACCTGAGTGGCTGGGATTACAGGCATGCACCATTGCACCTGGCTCTACCAATCTTTTATGGAAGAACTAATGCTTATTGCTCTCTGTTCCAAAAACTTAAAAGGGAAATATAATTCTTCAGACTCATTCTATGAGACCAGCATTACCCTGGAATTTGGATTTTTTTTTTCTTTTCAAATGAGATATGTTTTCACAGCACTTGAGAGTCAGCTACTTTTTCTTGGCAAGACCGAGTCCTTTTCCTCTAGGGATTGTTCAAGGGAGAGACCTGTTCAGGAGAGATTACTTCATTTGAATTCATTCCAAATATGCTAACAAGCTAATCTATTAGAAATAGAGATAATATAAAAAAAGTCTCAGATGCTATCTGCACATTTAAGTGGAAGGATTATTTTCCTGATAGAATGATCCAAGAGATTCTGAAAACTCAAATTCTCCTCAAACTAGAACATGTCTTTTGTTAATATCTAGCCCTCTTGTTATAGTTGTGGCTGCTCACAGAAATTTCCAGATGTTCTTGGTTTTCTGGGAGTGAGATTTTACAGATATGGGAACATGTTTTAATTAGGAAGGAACCGAACTTATGAAGATGCTTTTGATCTTCAACAATAGACTGAGGAGTTATGCTTCTACCTATGAAAAAACTCCATCATCAGCTTTTTAATGAGGTTACATCTCAGTCTCTGCTGTAGTAAGTAGGTAGTGCTGAATAAGTAGGAAATTAATTTTCATAAACACTCAAATTCAATTCTTTTGTTTTCTTCACAATAATTGTCTAAAATAGATAAAACTATCATGTAACTAATTTTAGTGTTGTTTGACTTTTTGTTTAATTGTCATCAAATAATGTGTTCAGCCAAGTTAATTTTTACTAATTAGATCAAATTTGGATGCATTATTATTATATATAGTGAGATTCATTGTGATGTATTTGTGAGTGAACATAACATAATTTGATCAATTTAATTTCCCAGTACCATCCTTTTCCTCCCCTCTTCCCTCCTCTACCTTCTTCAATTGTACTAGTCTCCCTTTTATTTTCACGAGGTCACTTTTCTTAAAAATAGTTTTTTTTCCTAGCTTCTACATATGAGACAGAACATATGACCCTTGATCTTGAGTTTGGCTTATTTTGCTCAACATGATCCTCTCCAGTTCCATTAGTTTTCCTGAAATTATAATTAGGTCAGTTTTTTAGATAGTTTTGCAAACATAGCATATTATTTTCTATGAAGATGTTTTTCCAGCAGATGAGAATATTCAACTATGTTTTTGCAATAAATACAGACTTTAAAAATGTTTTTATATTTAAAGTATTCACTTGGATACATTTATACTTCCCTGAGAGACTGAGATAATGGGAAATTTTGGAAATATGTCTGTTATAGCCACTTGATACTATTTATGGATCCACTGACTGGCCATATATTATCATGTGTTCTATGAAGAATCATAAGTCCATGAGACACTGCAAGCACCCTAGTAAATGAAGCATTGAGTTTTGGAGCAAGGACAAGATCCAAGTTGTAAGTTCTTGGAACAACTGCAAATGAAAACTCATTGAAAAGTCCTGTGATCTATTGAAATACAGCAAATATCTTACAGGTCATTTATTCTCAAAGGAGGTATTTGAATTGGGAAAATTAAGTTGGCAAAACAGAAATTAATTAAAATGTACCAAGTATATTTGGTTAATGCTACAGCCTGATTAATATTTATTTTTCATTTTGCCAAATGACAAGTGATACTTGTTACATGTGTAAGAAATAATCAAATGCATTTATTGCTTTAATTTATGATATATTTTATATGATGTGTAAACAAAAAAAGTATAATTATTTTTATAACATTTGGATTAATGACTTTAAAATTGTACATCATACCAAGCATGTCAGAATGTAAGGGAACAAATGTCTGTTATTTCCCGGAAGCATATAGGAGCTTTTATGGTCAGTCTTAAAATTATCCCATCAAACATCATAGTACATGGGTATAGAGAAATCCATACTCAGGCAAATACCTCTTTTATTGTCATCTGTTATAGTAAAGAACTATATATGGCAATTTTAAATTATAAGAGTATCATTTTAAAGAGCCATTTTCTTTAAAACTGTATCAAATTAATTTTTATGGTATAGTGTTAATTTCATGGTTTAGATGGAAAGTATAGTAATATTATTTTTTCAGTGTTTATAGTATCAAATCTTTAATAACTTAAACTATACATTTATGTGGTTCACATAGCATAGCATAGTTTTATCATTCACATAATGTATATAGTATAGTTTGGACACTCTGTTTTTACTGCATGGTCTATAGAATATTTATCCTGGTGAAATTCTGCGTTGACAATTAATGAGAGTAAATACACCAAACATTGTAAAAAGTAAAAATGAAACAAAAATAATTGAACAAAGACTACTTTATACTCTTGTGTTTTTCAAGATATGCCTTTATTGGTCCTTAGCTTTGACATCCACACAATTCCTGAATCAGAAAGAAGCACTAATGTAAAGAAGACATGTAGAAGGTTCATCACAGCTGGATTCTAGAGAAAGCTCATCTTCACATGTTCTCCCCACTACTAAATCCATGTGAGCCACATCCTCTCACGTGCTTTCTGTCTAAGTATATTCCTGCACAGGTAAATATTGCTAATACTTATATATAATGTAATAGATAATTCCTTAGACATGCATTTTTATCTTATACCCCAAAATGTGTTCATAAGTTACACGAATACTGTTCTTTAAATCCTGAACTTGGTCAATAATTCTTATTGGATTGATCCGGAGTCTAATTTATTTTGATTCAATGCTCACAGTGAAATTTTGAAAAATATTAATAATACCTCTCATTCATTTAGATTTTACCGGGTACCCAACAGCACTCACTTCAAGTAACTTACATTTCATAAAAATACCCCAACAGGTAGGTTTATGGGTATCCCTATCCTAAAAATGATGAAACAGAGGCATAAGGAGGTATATTCAGTTGCCCATGCTCATGTGGATAGCAAGTGGATGCAACTGGGATTACTCCAGAATCTATTCATCAAGGTGCTCTGCTTTCTCTCTATGAATGTCTTGGATCCTATGTTGATAACCACTGAATGAGAAATTTATTCATTATTTAGTCACATTAGTAATCACATCCTACATACCACTGGCTAGCACTTTTAAATAGTGATAACTTTGGGGATTTCATTTGATTATACAAATCTTAGAGTTGAAAAGAGTAAAAAGAATAAGTAAAGTTATGTTCAGAACATTCATAGTGTTGTAGTTAGACAGGAAAGAATTCTGATTTCATGTAGTTCAGTCTCTTCATTTTCCAATGTGAAAATGGAGACATATTTGTAATTGCATTAAGAAAAATGACAAAAACTCATGCCTTACCAAGCTTCTCATTCCTTCCAGTGTGCTGCCTTCTGGAATCTACACAGTGAAGTTCTATTTGTGAACACTCCCTGTACTAAGAAACATTAGATATATAGCCTTACCCCACTGTTCTCTTACTTTTCAGTTTCTCTCTTCTTCCTTACCACCCAGTTCACACCAAGAATTATAAAACAAAGATGTACTAGCAGCTGATAGAGTAGTTGGTGATGGTGACACCGAAGGGTTAGTTCAGTAAAATTAAAAATATTTGTTAAAGTCAGGATAGTGTATGTAAAGGTGTACAGAATTTGACATGGGCAAGGATAGATACAGAATTATAGCTCTATGTCAAAAACATTGACATTCAGAGCCCAAAGAAGTAATTGGTACAAGGGGAAATGTATTCTATAATTATTGTAATTATTTGATATAGTTCAAGTCCATTTTTGAAATTTAATGAGAAGGTATGAAGATTGAATGTCATTGAGACATGCACAGTGGATGTCTAATGGTGCACTATCGAGTATTGAGCTAGATTCTTCAGAAGAGGTGATACTTTCAGTGCTACACATATCATTTTGTAAAGTTATTTCATAAAAAAAACTGACTCAAAGTACTAACTCTACATCAATGTGTATATTTAGGATTTATGCCAACACCGTAGGGTAGGTTTCTTGAAAGCAGAAAGTCTTTTCTTGTTCATGTTAGCTGTCTTTTGTGCCAAGAAGAAAGATAATTGAAAGAAGATATTAAATGTATGAATGACAGTGGTGCCTCTATCTGCTCTTCTCCATAGAGACCCACTGAGATCTTAAGATAGAACTTCTTATTCATAAGTCCAACAGAATCATCCAAAGGGAAATACAATTGTCAAGAGAAGGTCTTTTGGACTCCTAGGAAGAGGACCTCAACAGATGCTTACTAAACGTTGACGGTATGTTTGCCACTGCAGAAGACAGAAAGATGAAGATGTGCTCTATGACAGAGGGCATTCATGGTCCTGTTCACAGTTTCAGGAAGGTCATGTTCTCCTGAGCTCTCATCTCTGATAGAAGCATCATGGTAGAGTAAATGGGAGAAAATAACAATGTCACAGAATTTGTCCTCCTGGGCCTCACCCAGGATCCTGATGGACAAAAGGCATTATTTGCCATGTTTTTACTCATCTACATTGTGACAATGGTGGGCAACCTGCTCATTGTGGTGACTGTCATTGCCAGCTCCTCTTTGGGCTCCCCCATGTACATCTTCCTTGCCTATCTGTCACTCATGGACGCTCTTTATTCCAGTGCTATCTCACCCAAGCTGATTACAGACTTACTCTGTGATATAAAGACGATTTCCTTCCCAGCATGCATGGGCCAGCTCTTCATAGAACACCTGTTTGGGGGGGCTGAAGTCTTCCTTCTGGTGGTGATGGCCTATGATCGCTATGTGGCCATCTGTAAGCCACTGCACTACTTGAGCATTATGAATCGAAGTGTTTGCATTCTCCTGTTGGTGGTGGCCTGGGCGGGAGGTTTTGTACACTCTGTGGTTCAGCTTGCCTTTGTGTACAATCTCCCCTTCTGTGGTCCCAATGTCATTGACCACTTCATCTGTGACATGTACCCATTATTGGAACTTGCATGCACTGACACCTACTTTATAGGCCTCACTGTGGTTGCCAATGGTGGAGCAATCTGTATTGTCATTTTTATCCTTCTCCTAATCTCCTATGGATTCATTCTAAACTCCCTTAAAACCTACAGCCTGGAAGGGAGGCGCAAAGCCCTGTCCACCTGCATCTCCCACATCACAGTGGTCTTCCTCTTTTTTGTTCCCTGTATTTTCATGTACGCTAGACCTGTTTCCAACTTTTCCATTGATAAATCAGTGACTATAGTTTATACTGTTATCACTCCCATGTTGAATCCTTTAATATATACTTTAAGAAATGGAGAGATAAAAAATGCTATGAAAAAACTCTGGTGTAAAAAGTTAACTACAGGTGGAATAAGAATGCTCCCTGCTCAACATGATGCTAATTCTAACATAACAAACAGGCAGTAAATTTTGCTAAAGGGTGATATAGTCAAGTCTCAATGGATGCTTCTCTTTATTTTTACAAAACCAGAGTACATTATTCTTTCTAATTTAAATCATACTAATAGAGACTATCTGGAAAATGAAAAAAAATGCACAGGTTTGTCTTATTACAAGTACAGGTAAAACTAAAATTTGTTCTTTATCCTATAATTTTATTTAATTGTTATTCTATCATATTATTATATCATCTTAGAATACTATATTATAATTTTACATATATCCAATAATAAATGAAATTCATTTGTAAATTGTATAGTGTCTCACCTCTAATATCTTTGACATCATTGAAACTACTTTTGTGCGCATTCCTGATAGCATTCCTCTCTCCCAAGAAGTAAATCCAATGATACATTTTTGTTTAATCATTTTTTATTATTTTAATTTTTTTGTTACGTCACACACCAATATACACCTTGACTTAATCAAACAAGTATAAACTCTAACCCACTTCATTTCAATCTCTGGCACTCCCTGCTCCCCACCTGCGGTTCCCTCCCTCCACACTACTGATCCCTCTTGAATCCTTTTAGAGCTATTTAAATCAGCTTAATTTTAAATGTACATTTTATTAAAATATAACATTTATATTTTCTCATTATTTATATTTATTAAAATTGCTTTATAATAGAACACAGTTTAGTTTTCTCAAGTTTCTTTATATGTACCATGATAACTTTCTTAGATATGATCCTGTGGTTTAGTCTCATCATTTCCCGGCTGAGTCATCCCCTGTGTGAACATGTAATGGGTTATGCAGCCCGTTCAGTCATCTGACACCTGGATTTCCTCTTTTTCTTTCACACATACTTTCTATGGCATCCTGATTGAAATTACATTTTGTTAACTAGGATACTTATACATTCACTTTTATAAGTGATTGCATGTTATGATTTACTTTGCCATTCCTCGTTTTATTTTTTACTTCTTTTATTTTCATTCTTTTTTAATACTAATTAAAAATAATACTACATAGACTATCCTATTTGATTTCAATTTATTACATATGCCATTTTTAGTTTAATAGTTTTACTTTTAAAAACAGAAAGGAAATCATAATAGATAATAATCAACGTTAAAAATATTAAAACCAGAGCTCATATGAAATGATAAACTGTAGAATAAACCTCCCCATCCCTCACTGGTCTTCCAGGGCTACTCCCAGATGCACACACTGGACTGTATTGCTAAGGCTCTTCAAGAATTTGTTCTTAACAAATATGAGCATATTCAGATAGAGATATGAGTCATATTTTTCCTGTGTAGGTAAGTTTGCACTGGGTATGGTGCCACATGCTTGTAATCCAAGTGACTTGGGAGACCAAGGCAGGAGGATCACATGTTCAAAGTCAACCTCAGCAATTTAGCAAGGCCTTAATAAGCAACTTATTGTGACATTGTCTCAAAAAATAAAAAGTGTTGAAAATGTGGCTCAGTGGTTGAACCTCTCTGGGTTCAAATCTGTGCACAAAAAAAAAAATTGCATTTATTTCTCAACTTCTTGAAGATCTAGTTCACAGATCTCATTTTCTATTTATTTTCAGTTTTCCCTTTTCTGTGTAATATTCCCTTAAAAAGATATATTCAGGGTGATGTGCTCAATGTTCTTTAGGTTCTTCAGGTTGTTACCAAATACTTCCTATGACAAATAATTATACAAGAAAAACTTTTAAATATATCTAAGTGAGTTCCTAGGAATTAGACTGTTACATACATATTTAAAACACATATTTAAAATGTTGATCTTCAGAGTTATTGACAAAATGCCACCCAAGATAAACTACTGCCTAGAATCTATGAGAATATTTGTTCATCCATATTCTCAAAAACTGTGCTTCAAAGACAGTTTTGATATATGACAATTTGATTAAAGTTTTCAATTGTGTATTTTAATTGAATTAGATAAATTTAATCCAATTTGAACGTAGTTTTACATGTTTAAAATAATTCATATTTTTTCTATAAATTGGCTATTAATGGATTTTATCTATTTTCTGTGATTGCCAGTCATTTGCAAACTAATAATTTTTATTATTTAATTGTATATGCATAAAATAATGCCTTTTATCACTGCAAATATAATTATTATTTTCCATGTCGTGATTCATTTTTTATGTTTTATGCCACTAAATAATATCTGACTGTGTAGCAATAATTCTGTATTTCTATAGTTAAGTTGATCAATATTTTCTTTGGTCTTTATATCTTGTTTGAAAGGGTTTTTCTCATTTTACATTTTTTTTTGTGTGTGTATTTGTGGATTGAACCCAGGGCCTTGTGCATGCCGGGCAAGTACTCTACCAACTGAGCTACATCCCATCCCCTCATTTTACTTCTACCAAAATATTCTTTCACATTTTTAAACATATATTTTTAGAATTTTTGTGATTTATATTTTATGTTTAAATGTTGGTTCCATTTGGAGTTTATTTTGATACAAGGAGTTTACTAAGGGATTGAGTTTCAGTTATTTTTTTTTCTAGATGGAAATTTTTATAGGTGTATAATTATTTTTCCCAATGTTTCAAAATCCAACTTTTATTGTATTCTAAAACTTGTATATGTTTGGATCAAATTAAGTCCTTCATTCTCTTTTACTGATCTCTCAATCTCTGTTCATGAGTGTGTGTGTGTGTGTGTGTGTGTATATATATATATGTGTGTGTGTGTGTGTGTGTATATAAAAGCATGCACACATATAGGGCTATATATTGACAATATACCTTTCCCAATTAGAAATAATTATTTGGGTTGTTTCCAGATGTTTGAGATTATGACTAAAATTGTTTTAATATAATATGTATATCGATGTGTAGGTTTTCACATAAACATAAGTTTTCATTATATTTGGGTAAATAAGAGAAGAGCTATTTTATGGTAAGAGTATGTTTGATTTTGTAAGAAACTGCTAAACTATATTCTAAAGTAAAGCCTTTTGATTCTCAGGTATCAACAAATGATAATTAGGTTCTCTCCATCCTTATCAGAATGTGGTGGTATTGAACTTTTTAAGTGTAGCCATTCTCATTGGTGTGTATTGATATCTTGTGGTTTTAATTTTTATTTTTGAATGACTAATAATATTAAACAACTTTTTATGTGCTGCATTATCAATTATATATCTTCTTTGGTTTTTTGTCTCTTATTCTTTTGATTGTTGAGTTATTTATTACTACTGAAAGTTGAGTTTATTACATATTCTGCAAATAAGTCCTTTCATAAGTTTTATTATTTGCAAATAGTTTGTCCCCATTTGTGACTCACTTTTTCACATGCTCTCAAAAAATGTGTAAACAATGGAATTCATCATTTTTTTATGGAGTACAATACATACTCTATTGTTCATCGTGGTTTTATTGTCATATTTAGGAAAACTTTGCCTAACTCAACAAAATTTTTCCCTTGATATTCATTCCTTTAGATATGTTATAGTTTTAGAATGTTTAAGTCTATAAGCCATTTTGGGGTAACTGTTGGTTATGTTGTGAAGTGTTAATCAAAGTTTATCTTTGCAAATTAATACAATTATTACCTAACTGATTATTGAAAGACTGCTGCTCTATTTTGAGTTGCCTCTGCACTTTTGTCTCACCCACTGGATGTGTGTGTCTATTTCTGGACTATCTGTTCTGTTTCAGTAACCTATGTTTGTCTCATCTCCAACATCACACTTCATGGTAGATATGGAAATCCAGCAGTGCAGGTCTTCAACTATGTCCAAGCCACTGGGATTAAAGACATATACCACAATGCCTGCTTATTCTAGTTCTTTTGTTTTTCCAGGCAATTTTTTGAATAGGTTTGTCAGTTTCCTTCAAAAACTTGAGTTGTTATTTGGAATTTCTTTGAATAATAGATCAATTAGAGGAGATCTGAGACCTTGGGAAGTCTTCCAATTTGTTGCTGTGGCTGATTGTAAGTCCTTTGGGTATAGACGGGGGAGTGAAATCGCTGGGTCAAATGGTGGTTCAATTCCAAGTCCAAGGAATCCCCATACTGCTTTACAGATTGGTTGCACCAATTTGCAGGCCCAAGAGCAATGTATGAGGATGCCTTACCCCCCACACACCTTCACCAACACTTATTGTTGTTTGTATTCTTCATAGCTGCCATTCTGACTGGTGTGAGATGAAATCTTAGTTTTGATTTGCATTTCTCAGATGTGGAATAGTTTTTTTCATATATTTGTTAATCGATTGTGTATCTTCTGTTTACCGGTGATGAGTCCTTGCTTCCTGAAATGCTGAAGTGTAACACCAGAGAAGCATGCTGAGGCAAGTGTAGAGTGGAAAAGTGGAAGGCTTTATTAAAGGACAGCAGAAAAGACTTCCTCCTGGAGGAAGAAGGGGACCCAAAAAAATCCCAGTGGCTCTGGAGGCTGAGGCAGGAGGATTCCAAGTTCAAAGCCAGCCCCAGCAACTTAGTGAGGCTCTAAGCAATGTAGTGAGAACTTGTCTCAAAATTTAAATATATATATATATATATATATATATATATATATATATATATATATATATATATATATATGGGCTTGGGATATGGCTCAGTGATTAGGCAGCCCTGGGTTCAATCCCTGGCACAAAAAAATTGATTAATATCATTCTCCAATTCCCCTGATATTCCTTCCTGCCCCCCACCCCTCCCTCTACTTCTCCTTTCATTATTGTGTTTCCAATTCACTTAGACAAGACCCAAGTCTTTTCTCTCTAGGAAATTATTGTTCAAGGGAAGAAACCTGTTCAGGAGAGATTATGTCATTTGAATTTGTTCCAAATACACTAACAAAGTAATCTATTAAAAGCAGTGATGATGCTCAAGGTCATAGACTGTATCTGCACATATAAGTGGAAATACTATTTTCATATTAGAATGACCTGAGAGGTTTTTGAAGCTCAAATTCTACCCAAGCTGGAGCATGTCTTTAGCTTCTGTCTTGTCCTTGAGACAAAAAAATATTTTTTTTTGGT